CAATGGAAAGGGGCTAATGATGGCTTGGGCACTTTGAGAAGGTGACTTTGATTTCCTGTTACAAGGCAATCAGATGGGAGTTGCACATGTTGTTCTCTCTCCACTTCAAATCTCAGTCTTTGCTGTCTCAGTAAGTTTGCTCCCAGCTAAGCTATTCGTTCAGCTGTGCCAGTTGGTCCTGGCTTTAACCTTTCTCAATGGACTTATTAACTCTTTTCTGGGTTACATTTTGAGATTCTCTTGGGTGTGTCCCTGGACTTTGCTGCTTTCTGAAGACATCATCCCAATTGTCTCAGGTTGTTTCCTTCTTTTATTTCTGTTTCTTGGAAAACTCTGCCACCTGACTTTCTCCACCTGTTATCCACCCACTCATCCACTTTCTCCACCTGTCTTGCTTCTGTCTTTGCCACTGTACTAAATATTCACTCTCAAAAATTACCTCTGAACTGTGGCTTCTGAGTGCAGTGTCTTACAGTGCTTATTTTCCTTGAGGTTTGTTCAGCCTTTGCTACTATCCAAAGCGCATCCCGCACATCTGGAACTCCAGTACCTTGCATTCATTCCATCCCACTCATTCTCATCGACACATTAAATACCAGTGATCTCCTTCTTCCGCGCTCTCTGGTTCTGACCACGAACATGTGCTCAGTTTTTCTCAAGCATCCTCAGTGATGTCTCCCTATTGGATCTCATCCAAACCAATAGCTGCAAGAATCATAGCAGTGTGGCCTGTGTGCAGGGCCCATCTTTCCTCTCACAGTATCCAGTACTTTCCCTTTCTCTGCCTTTTGCACCTGCCATTCTTTTTGCCTGGAATTTTTTCACTGTTATGTTTTGGCTAAATTAAGTTGGTTATGATAATGTGCAAGGATTTTACTCATCACCTCGCTCCCACTACCCGCAAAGACACATTTTGTATTTTCTTGGCTTTTTAAACTTTACTTTGACTAATTGAACAAATGGATTTAAATCAGTGCATAAATAATACTTATTGCATATGTGCGGCTAGTTCACTGTTATACTTCTTGCAGCAGTTATAGTTCTTTGCACATAGCTGGTATGAAATTAATTTTCATTGAAAGGCAGAATGAATGAAACTGAGACTGTTAAAGAAAGCTATAAAATTTGATCTAGATATTTGGATTGTTTATATTCTCAAAATATTTGAATATAATTATAATGATTGCAGTATACAGATATACAGTCTTACTATTGTATTTTATTACTTGTACAGTGAACATACTTGATCACAAATGAGTTAGATGTTAGTGGAGCATATCTATACAGTATAAGTCTATCAGTTGGCAGTCTGCATCATGCTGATAGAACAGGTCTCCCCTAGACTGAATGGCTTGAACAATAGGAATTACTTCTCATAGTCTGCAGGCCAGGAAGTCCAGGATCAAGGCCCCAGCCATTTCGTCTGCCAGAGAGGATGTCTTCCCGACTCAGATGCTGCTGCCTTCTTGATGTGTTCTAACGGCAGAGTGCAGAGGGAAGCTCTTGGGCAGCAATCCATCCCTCAGAGGTCGACCGTGATAATCCCATCTAAATGTGGCCCTCCTAGAGGTCCCATCCACACCACTGAAGGCATCGCATTTGGAGTTTTAGGCTTCAGTGTACAAATTTTGGAAGATACAGTTCTGTCCAGATGCTGAAACTACTTTAAAAAAAAAAACTTAAGAATCATTTTTTAAAACTACAATCTAAAGTAAATTGCTCATAGAAAAAGTAAAAACTACTCTTGCTTAGCCACCATGAAATATTAGGTTCAATTATGCATTATTGGAATATAATGGTACTATGAAAAGACTCTGAAATGACTCCAGAATTTTTTTACATTCTGTGAATGTTCATAATTCCACAAAAACTGCAAATGTCTCTTAGTATCTGATAAAATGTAAGATGAAAAGAGATTTTAGTGAGTTTTTTTACCTATTTGGAGAATAGTAGCTAATTTCATAGATGAAGTTCCTTTTAAAATAAACCTCAGTCTTCTGTAAATAAATTATACATTAAAAAAAACCCTGTGTCTTAGTGTTTTGTATGTTTTGAGAAATGATTACATAACATTTTTTTAAAATTCAGAGACCATTGTTGCAGCCCAGTACATTAAGCTGCTTGCTGCCTGCGGTGCTGGCTTCTCATCAGTATCTGTTTGAGTCCTATCTTCTGTCCTTGCCATCCGGTTTCCTACAGCCAGCTGGACAGTGAACCGGTGGATGGAAAATCTCTTTCCGTCTCTCCCTTTATTTCTGTAATTCTGCCTTTCAAATAAATTTTAAAAATATAACTCTTTATAAAAAGAATCAAATTTCAGTGATGCATTAATCCTATAACAGTGATATCATTGGAATAGAATAAGTAGAATACTGACTATTTAAGAAACCTAAAGCTTAGGGCAATACAAGAAGGTTAGAAAAATTCAGTTTGGGTAAAGTTCTGCTACTTCAAGTTATATTTTCTGTGTGTTCAAAGAGTCTAAGGGTTTTTAAATGATGTTAACATAAGTAATAATCATAGAAAGGTACTATGATTAATGGTTATCTTTATAATTATCTAGAAAAATAAACAATTGGGAAGCAGCATTTGCTGTTAAGCTTAACTTGAAATTTGTTATGTAGCATTTTAAAGTATTACAACTTAATGATGTATTTTAAGGGATCATTTATGAGAGCAGTCTTAATTTATCATTTATCTTGGCATCTTTTTATTGTTTCTTTTGAAGTTTGTAGAATTAGAGGATACCAATTATATGGTCAGGATACAGATGGACATATTTCTTCTCTGTGCTTTGAGAATAACATAATTTAATTTCTCAGTGCATGAGTCATAGTGGAAGAATCCTGGACCATTTAATAGAGAGTAAACAATGTTAGTGCAAGTTCAGATGTTTTATTGTTCTGGTTATTGGCTGCCATGCTAGCTCAGTAGGTGGCTTGCAGAAATCTGCTATTGGAGAGGGGTATCAGCTGCAGGCAATACAGAAACAAGTGGACATACCTGAGCTCCAATAAAACTAGGCAAGTAGTTCACTGATCCGCCATAGTCAGCTGTTCTGTTTACTTTCCTTTAATCCTGTTCTAATTTAATTCCAACCACTGGTCCATTTAGCTTTACCTTTAAGTACTTGTGCACCCTTTGGGTGCTGTCATGCTCTTACAGGTTCAGTTTCTTTTCCTAGATTGTTTTCAAATTCTTTTATACATCTTCCAACCTTGACACATTACAGGTTCAGTTTCTTTTCCTAGATTGTTTTCAAATTCTTTTATACATCTTCCAACCTTGACACTAAGTCCTCCAGAATTTAATTAAACATGGAGTGATTTTCCTGAGTGAGTGATGGATGATAAGGAAATGAAGGTGATGGGTGAGTGATTCCTCTGGAATAAGGCAGGACTTAAGTAGACTCTTCAAAGGCGTGAGGGAAATGAAATATTAAAAACAGAAGAGTGTTTCAATAAGTTGTTGAGAAGGGAAAGCTCACAAACTACCCTCTTCTCATGAATGTGGAATCCCATCACAGACTAGTCCTGCTCAAAATGGTTATTTGGAGCAAAGTGCTGGATGTGTGACTTGGCCTCTCTTCCTTGGTTTCTGTTCTTTGAAGTCTTTTCCCCCCATGTGATTAGTGTGATGAACGGGGATGGTGCTGAAGTGCTCTGCAAGGCCTGTGGTCTGTGCCACCTATGCTGTGGCTGCTCTGGCAAATGAGCATCTCTGGCTAGTTGGCTTCTTTAGTCAGTGGATATTTAAGATAGGAAAATTGCATGTGTGTTTTTTTCTGTTCTTACATTCAATACAACAGAGACCACTTTACCAGTCATCATCAAATTGAGTTCAAGTTTTATCCAATAGCTAGTTTTCAGAGTATACCAACTGAGTGTCGTAATTCAGTTCTGGTGCTGTACTTGGAGCTAGTGTACACTCCCACAGGTTAAGGTCTGCATCCAACAAGTCATACCCCATTTCAAATATACTTCTGACCAGTGGGCTATAAGTCAGAGATTCCTACATCCCCTTCTTGGGCTCAGTTAATTCGCTAGAACAGTCCACAGAGCTCAGAGAAATATATTTAGTTATTTGTTTTAAAGGATAGCAAAAAAGATGTGGGTGAACAACCAGATGGAAGAGTCACATAGATCAAGGTCTATTGGCAGAGTCATGGAGCCCCATATTGTACCTGGGCAAAATACCTTCCCAGCACCTCCATGTTCAGGATTCTGGAAGCTCAGAAGGCCCTGTACTTGGGGGTTTTAATCGAGGTAGTGTTATATTGGTATGATTGTCTCAATCATTGGCCATGAATGACCTGTGCAACTTCTAGCCTCTCTTCTCCTTGGTGTGCAAAGCTGTAGCCCTGTAGTTACGTGGTTGATTCCTGTGGAAACCAGCTCCCATCCTGAGACTTCCATGATCCAGATGATCAAGAGTAATTTCATTGGAGGAAAATTTCCTATAGGAACTTGCAAGGTATTTAGGAATCCTGTGTTGGATGATCTTGTTACTCAGACAGTTGCAAAGACCTTAAAAGTTGTAAGTCAGAAACTGGGGGGAAGTGTCTCTTATATACACATACTTCATGCAGGCTTGTTTCACTGTTGACTTGGTGGGACAAGAATTGGAAGTTGCTAGAATTTCTTGGCTTATCAGCTACCTTAAAGCTTAAATTGAAAAAATGTAAGTAGTCCTCCATGGTGTCTGCATTAGCTCATCAGGGAAATGGTTGGAGTTGAACATCTGACATACACACAAAACAAAAATGAAAACAGAGAAGCTGTAGATAAGCACGTGGTTTGTGTACATCATTGCCCATGGACGTTGCTCCATGGAAAGGAGTAGCTGTGACAAGGCAGCTGTTTCCCTGCTACTCTTAATCTTTTTGACTTTGGTCTGATTGCATCTCAGAAAAGCTACAGTCAAACAATCCAAATAAAAGAATTAATACAATTGAAAAATGATATGGTTTACTTAATCCCCCCTTCTTCAAATCCATGTAGGTGATATACGCTTTGAATACTAAAAATGATGAGCATGAATCTGCAATGCAAGCCCTCAAAGATGCACATGAAGAAGAAATCCAACAAATTCTTGCAGAGACAAGGGAAAAAATATTGCAGTATAAAAGCAAAGTAACAGAGGAATTAGACCTGAAGAGGAAGATTCAGGTTTTAGAGGCCTCCTTAGAGGATCACATCAAAATGAAGCAGCAGGCTCTGACAGAATTTGAAGCATATAAGCACAGAGTGGAAGACATGCAACTTTGTGCTGAAGCCCAGCACGTCCAGCGCATAGTCACCATGTCCCGAGAGGTCGAAGAGATTAGAAGAAAGTTTGAAGAAAGATTACGGAGCTTTGGACAGCTTCAAGTGCAGTTTGAAAAAGACAAACGCCTGGCCTTGGAAGGTTTGCGAACAGCTCACAGACGGGAGATCCAGGAGCTGCTGAAGTCCCAGCAGGATCACGGTGTCTTGGTGAACAAAGGGCAGGAGGAGGCTGAGGAGCTACACAGGGTGGAGGTGGAGGCCTTAAACAGAACACTAGAGGAGCTGCGGCTGGAGAAGAAAAAGCTGATTGAAGATTATGAAGGCAAGCTTAGTAAAGCTCAGTGCTTTTATGAACGGGAGCTCGATACACTGAAAAGGTCACAGCTCTTTACAGCAGAAAGCCTGCAGGCTAGCAAAGAAAAGGAAGCTGAGCTTAGAAAGGAATTTCAAGGACAGGAAGCCGTGTTACGAAAAACCATAGGAAAACTAAAGACAGAGTTGCAAATGGTACAGGATGAAGCTGGGAGTCTTCTGGACAAATGCCAGAAGCTTCAGGTGGCTCTCGCTGCAGCCGAGAACAATGTCCAGGTAAGCACAGAGGGGTGTGTACAGCATCCGGGCTTTCCAGAGTGTGCTCTTAGGACACCTGAAGGCTCTTCTAAAGGTGCGTGAAAAATGCAGACTGTGAAAAACCCGGCCATGCATGATAAAAATGTGTGCGCCAAAGTTAATGGTTTAATTTTCCATGAACTTTTTCAGAACTCTTCCTATTCATTTTATGGACTAGAGAGCAGTCTTGTGGGTTTAGGATTAGCTCTATTCTATTCCCAACCCTGGAAATTTTGTTTTTTCACTTTCCCTTTTCCTACTTTTGTGAGAAAAATCAATGAGGGAATCATTTTATCTCTGAATTTCAGATGTTAAAGGCCCCAGAATATAAGCTGTAACCTTGATGGTTGTTTAGGAAAGGGTTTTGGTGTTACTTAAATAAAATGATAGTGCTTTGATAAGTGGCTTATGAAAGTTACAATATTGAGCTGAGTATTTCATTAATTTCTTTCAGAAATAATGGTTTACCCACTGATATTCAGACATCAAACAAAATGCTGGCTACTTTATAAACCTTAGTAGAGATGTGACACAAGTCTGAAAAAAAGTCCAGATTTTCTCCAAGTTTTGTTTTGCTGTCATAAAAAATTCAATAGCTATGTTTTGAAAATCTGTGTGTGATTAGAATGGATTTGAAAGGACAGAAGAGTCTTTCCTGGTTGGGTGACTAAACTCGTGATAAAATTAACTTATAATTGTCACCAGTACATACATAGGGTCCTCATAAAGTCCATGGAAAATGCATATATGAAAAAGCTATGGCTTTCAAATTTTTTTTGCACCAAAAACGTAATTTTAAAATTGTGTTTTTCACAAACTTTTGAAATAACTCTGTACTTACAGATTTAAGTCGCAGAATATTTGAGTGGGAATTTTGAACAAGAGAAAGTGAATGCTTATAACTTAAGTGAACTCTTCAGCATGATATCATTCTTGCATTTTAATAATGGCTATCTAATGTTTCTTAGGTCCTTCAAAAACAGCTTGATGATGCCAAGGAGGGAGAAATGGCCTTATTAAGCAAGCACAAGGAAGTGGAAAGTGAGCTTGCAGCTGCCAGAGAACGTTTGCAACAGCAAGCTTCAGATCTTGTCCTCAAAGCTAGTATGTCTGACTATACTTTTTTGTTATAATGCCTGACTTAAACTAACATTGTTCACTCAAAATTTGTCTTGTAAGGTTTAAGAAGTTTTGGGAGGGCAGGGAGCAGGTGGCATGGTACTATAGCATGCGGATCCTCTGCCTGCAGTGCTGATAGCTCATATATGGCCATCTGTTCAAGCCCTGGCTGCTTTACATCCAATTCACCTCCTTGCTAATGGCCTGGAAAAGCAATGGAGGATGGCCCAAGACCTCGGGCTCCTGCATGCATGTGGAAGAAGCTCCTGGCTTTCAGCTTTGGAGCAGCTCAGCTCTGGTGTTGCAGTCATTTGGGGAGTGACCCAGCAAATGGAAGATTTCTCTCTTGCTTTCTTTCCTTTTCATTCTGTATCTCTGATTTGCAAGTAAAAATAAATCTTTAAAACAGTTAGTTGGACAGTAAATTTGTTTAAGGACTTGAACATCAAAGCATTTAATCATTAGATAAGCAAATTATTGCTTATTTTTATTTTAGGAGTATGTTTTTCTATATTAATAGTATGTAAAACCACTAATAACTTAGTCACTAACAGAAAAATGACTTTAAAAAGGAAGACATTGCATCATTTGTGACAAAATGGATGGAACTGGAGAACATTGTACTAGAGTGAAACAAGCCAGGGCTAGAAAAACATTTTTTCCCTTATACCTGGAGTATGAAACAATAGAAACGCAAAAGCAAATAGTAGAATGGTGTTTATCAAGGACTAAGTAGGTAGAGGGAATTGGAAGACAAAATCCAGAGGGTACAAAACCCCAATGAGATAGGAGTTGTATTTAAAAGCAAAGTGAAACAAAACAGGAACTGCACAGGCTGGTTAGTGTGGTTGATGGTTGAGGACTGTATGTTAGTGTAAGCTGGAAGGGTGGATCTCACCATGAAACTTTTATGTTATTAAATATAAACTGTTTTGCATCACAGAACAATTGACTTTTCTCAGCTAAGTAAATTTTCTTTTGGGGGCATAGGTCACATTGGAATGCTTCAAGCAACTCAGATGACCCAGGAGGTTACGATCAAAGATTTAGAATCAGAAAAATCAAGAGCCAACGAGAGATTGTCTCAGCTTGAAGAGGAAAGAGCTTTTCTGCAAAGCAAAACTCGAAGTCTGGATGAAGAACAAAAGCAGCAGATTCTGGAACTGGAGCAGGTGAGGAGTGATGCCTCATCCCTCCTGAGAACGGGAAGGAAGCGACGGGCTGTTCATCCGACAGCAGAGTTGGTGTGTTTGGAATGATTACTCTTACTCTGCAGCAGCATTACTGCTCTTATAGTTGTTTTGTTTATTTGTTATTATTTTTAAAAAATTATGTAAAGTTAAACTATCCCTTATCACAGATATGTCCAAAATATGTATACAATAATCTGTGATACAAGGAACATAATTTCAACGTTTTCCAAGTTAGAAATTGAGTAAACTGTTAATTCAGTGGTGTATACATTTATGGTTAATCTGTAAATGAATCTATAAATAATATATATATCTTTCACACTTTTATTATTTTCCATTTTTTTTTTTTAAAGATTTATTTTTATTATTTTTTCATTGGAAAGGCGGATATACAGAGAGGAGAGACAGAGAGGAAGATCTTCTGTCCGATGATTCACTCCCCAAGTGAGCGCAACGGGCCGATACTATGCCGATCCGAAGCCAGGAGCCTCTTCGGGTCTCCCACGCGGGTGCAGGGTCCCAAAGCTTTGGGCCGTCCTCAACTGCTTTCCCGGGCCACAGGCAGGGAGCTGGAAGGGAAGCGGGGCTGCCGGGATTAGAACCGGCGCCCATATGGGATCCCGGGCGTGCAAGGCGAGGACTTAACCACTTGCGCCACCGCGCCGGGCCCTATTTTCCATTTTTTATTATATTTTTTACAATCTTTACATAGTTAATTGGGATAAAAAGGTTCAAGGGCTACAGGAAAGTGGGTAAAACTATTATTTCCATATTGTTTCCTTTATGTATCTGAGGGAAATGGGGATATTAAGGGAGAAACCCCATCCAGTCTCCCACCCATCCCAGGTCCCGGATGTAGGGCATGCTCCGAGGGTCTTGTCAAGTGCTTTTGATAGTTCAACAGTTATGAATCACTGCCACTCTCACCATTCCAAGCATGGTGAGGTCGTTGAAGAATCCACTGATTGACATAGTCCATCTTAGAGTCTCCGTTTGCCTAGTTTTTCACTTTCAACATGTAGCTGAGGTGGCTGTTGACTTGTTCTGTCCTCTGTCTTTTCATGATTAGGGTTCTGAGTCCGGAAAGCTCGATTTGGGAGATCCCCAAAGAAACTTTGTCTGAGGTGTTCCCAGGTCAGATTCCTGTGTGTACTTGCCAGTACAGGGCCCGGCACAGTTCATTGCCCTGATCAGCTGGTGGTTGCAATTGCTGGATCTGTTCTGTTTCCAGCCCTGACTTCCACTGGAACCAGTGGGTGTTGCAGTCCAGCCTGGTTCTGCCCAGCACACACTGGGCCCTCGCATAAACCAGTGGGAGCTGCAGCCTAGTCAGAGCAACCCACAATAACCCGCACCAGGCCCGCCCCCTACCCTGGCGTGCCAGTATTAGTAGCAGACTAGTCCAGTCTGTCCCACATCCCCTTCTACTCTCACACATGCCAATGTGTGAGAGTATTAAATCCTAGTTCCAGCTAACCAGCTCAACAATCCAGCCCTCACGGATGTTGTTGGGTGCCTCTCTGTGTAGCCATCCCAGCCCCTGGCCTAGTTTTCGTGCCCTCCCATGGGAGTGGTAACCCCAGAGAGAGGAGCCCACTATTTCCCTCCCAGGCCTCTCCCACTCCCGGATTATGCTCTTTCCAGGTGGTTCTATGATTTAACTTGACAGAATTAGCCCCCATTGCTAGCTTCTTCCAGCTGATGCTTGGCTAAGCCCAAACAACCCTCACCCATTCTAAGTTTTGTTTGCACCAGTAGGAACAGTCAGCCCAACCTGACTTTTCCCTGATCTAATCTACATGAGGCGCACGTTGTTGTAGCTCTGCTTATTCTGGTCTGCCCCCATCCCAGCTCATGCTCTCCTGTGGGAGTAGCTGTCCAGTAAGGGAACCCCTTCATAATCGCCCTGCCAGCTCCGCCCCCTTTATTCCTGGTTCTCACGTGTTCTGGTTGGACACTGTGGTCACATCTGGTACAGGTAACCTCACCTTGGCATTCGTATTGTGCACTGGTTTTTGTCGCAATCGAACCTGGCTCGACCCACACTCTGTTCTGGTGCTTGGATTTGCCAGTGGATGACATGAGCTTATTCAGCCTGGTCTGCCCCGACCCATGCCAAATGTATGCCAGTCGGAAACTTTCCATGGCCTATTTTGGGCTGTTTCCTATCATGCTTCTTGCGCTTACCTGCAGGGACTGTGTCCTGCCAGAGGAGTTGCCCAGGCTCCTCCATCAGAACCTCTCCCAATGCCAGATTTTGTGCATACCAGGGGGTCCGTGAGCCAGCTCTACTCAGTTTACCTCCTGTCCTAGCAGGAGCAGTGGCTTTTCCTTGCTGGCCTTCAACCCATTCTTGTTCTTACTGTTGGATGTATGTTTCAGCCCAGCCAAGGCTCTTCCATACCCCCATACTGCTCACACATGGCTAAGTAAGAGCTGAGACCTGGCCTAGTCCAACCCACATCTACCGTAGTCCTCCAGAACACCAGATGGTGTTGGAGTCTGGCCCGGCTTGGTGCGTCCAGTCCCAGTCCACACTTGTGCCAAGGGAGACTACAACCGTATCCTGATCAGAGCGCAGCCCCCATTCAAGCCCACACGCCCCTTGGTGGGAAACTCAACCCAGCTAGGGTGTCCCCTTAGCTCCCAACTGGGCCTGCTCTCAGCCTTAGATCATGTGCATGCAGTGGTTGCTGTGACTCAGTTTGGCTCAGGCCCTCACCTGTCCCGACCTCTGCCTTAGACACTGTGGCTTGGTGTCCCTGGCTCACACAAACCTGACCTCTGAGTAGGGTGGGGAGCTCAGACTCCTAGGAAAGTGCGTTAAACAAATGTTTCAGTCCTTTCTTTTTCCTAGTATCCATAGGAGAGGAGGGTGGGGAGGTCTTGCCTTGCTGTCTTAGATGCTGCCTTAGAACCCTACTGTGGGGAAGAATGTTCTGAGGGTGTCACTTGAGTGGTTTTGATAATTCTGACACACTGTTGATTTCATTGCTACTGTGTTGAGAAAAATCTTTCTATTAGCTGAGAAAGTCCACCTCAGGGCATCCACGGACCCCAGGAACATGCTGCAAAACTTGACCAGGAAAGTTGTCCAACTTGTTTTGCTTTTCATCCTTATGATAAGGCAGCTGACATCCCCTACTGGCCCAGTTGAGCTTACTGACTGTCATGTCCCCCCTACTGTCCACCTCAGAGACTTCAGCAAATGAGAAGGCCACGTGCCAATACATGTACTCCAAGACTGGGCTACTCATGCTGTGATTTTCCCTGTGGCCAGGCTCTGAATACAGCTTTCTAGAAACCTTGCCTAGAGTGACCTCAGCCGTGACTCTTGTGTGTGCCAACCAGTGCAGGGTCAGGTGTGCTCTGTTATCTGCAGCAGCCAATGCACATACCAGTTGATACAGCTGCCTGGACAGCTCTGCCCCAGCCCCATATCATGCATCCTAGTCAGCCTGCCACACATCCGATTCTCTTGCATTTTCCTTGCTGCCATGGCCAGGTCTGGGTGACCTCCAATAACCACCACCAGACCCACCTTCACAGCTCTGGTTTTTGCATTTGCCAGCCCTTGTTGCATCCTAGTTCAGCCCAGCCTGTAGCCCATTTAGCTCTTGTGCACACCTTTGGGGTGCTATGACTTAACTCAGCTCTATCTGCCTTCATACCCAGTCCTCACTTATGCCGACAGTTGCCTTTGCCATATCTAGGTTTTCCCATGCCCAACCCTGGTTCTCCTGCTCTCCAGTGATAGATACAGCCTGGCAAGGGAGTGCTTACAGTTCCTGTTCCAGGCATGTTTCCAGTCCCAGATATTAAACCTGCCAGGGGGTACTTCAGTCTTGCTTGATATGACTTGCACTTAAATCCCAACACTTTCCAGCTGGAGCTGCAGCCTTGCCCAGCTGACCCATACCCATCCTGATCTTGTGCATGCCTATCTCAGCCTGGCCCACCCATAGCCTGGCTGCCCCCATCCCAGCTGTCATGCTCACCAGGGGAAGCAGTGGCCCAGCAAGGGGGTCTTGGAGTTTCCTGACCTGCTCACTCCTAGTCCCAGGTCTTGCACGTGTCAGCCCAGGCTTTGGCCTAGTCTGAGGTGGTCTGCCCCCAGACTTGGCATTTGCCAGTAGGTACTACAATCTGGCTCAGCTTGGCCCATGCCCATTCCTGGCTCTTGCTGTTGAGTGCATTAGCCTAGCCCACTATGGCCAATCCCCAGCCCTATGTGAACTGATATTGTGGTTCAACCCGGTCTGGCTTGTACCTTGTCCTGGCTTCCATTCATGCCAGTGTATGCTGTGGACTGACCCTACCTGGCTTGCCCTAGACCCACATCACACATGTGCCAACGGGTGCTGCAAACCAACCTGCACTAGCCTGCTCCCAGCCACAGCTTTTGTATTCACCAGTGGGAGATACAGCCTTGCAGGGAATTTGCACATTCCCCTAACAGGTCCACTCCCAGCAACAGATCTTGTACGTACCCAGACTTATATGAACAGTCCCCAGTACTGGTTTGTACTGTGGTCTAGCCTGATTGGCTTATGTGGATTCTAGCTCTCACCTGTGGGTGCTATAGCCTACCCCTAAACCAATCCCTCATGTGGAACAGTAGGTGCTGTAACCTAGCCTGAACTATCCCTCACCCATCTTGGTTCCTATGATTAACAGTGGGTACTAAAGCCCAACCCAGTCTGGCCTGCTCCCAGTCCCAGCCCACATGTATGCTGATGAGTGCTGGAGCCCCAGCCTGCTCTGCCCACAGCTCCAGCTCTTGTATTCACCAGTGGGAAAACAGGCTAAGCTGGGAGTTCTAAGAGTTCCAGTATCCTATCACACCCATTCACAGCCCCAGGGCTTGCAAGTGCCTGGCAGGGCCCATCTGCAATCTCAGCTCTTGTTGGTGGGTATTGCAGCCAGCCAGCTAGGCATGGCACATACCCTGTCCTGGCTCTCCTGTGTGCCAGTGAGTGTTGAGTCCTGGTCCAGCCCAGCCTATCACCATACCCTGCACGCACAAGCACTGACAGATACTGCAGACATGCCTGTCCTGGCCCATCTCCAGCACCAGTGGGAGTTGCTAGAAGGCATAAGAGAGTTTCCCAAGTTCCTCTACCAGGACTAATCCCAGGCCTGGATATCATGAGTGGCAGCAAGAGTAGCAGCCCTCCCTAGCATGGTCTGCCCTTAGTCCCAGCGTTCACATATGCCATTGGATGCTGTGGACTGTTCCTGCCCAGTCTCCTTCCAGCCTCAGCCCTCACAAGTGTCAGGTGGGTTCTCTGGTCCAGTCTGGCTCAGTCCATCATTAACCCCAGCTCTCCATGTAAACTGGTGTGTGCTGCAGTTCCACGGAGGCAAGCCCACAGCTCCCTACAGAATCTGTCCCTAGACCTCTTTCTCTCACATTCTAGTGAGTGCTGCAACCCAACCTGGCATGGCTCACCCTATTCCAAAACTCGTGGGCTGGTACTGCAGCCTAACTTAGCCAGGCATGCCCTCAATTCTCAGCTTCTGTGCATGCCATCAGGTGGTGGCAAATACTGTTTTGCTCTCCCCCGTGGGCAGATGCCTTGGTCTGATCCTGATACGCCCTCTGGTTCTCCCCTTCTAAACCACTGTATCTCAGCTCCTTCACCTACCTGTAAGTGCAGTAGCTCAGTCTGTGGAAGACCCCAGAAGTCATTCACTCCCTACCAGACTTGCCTACAGCCCTTCTCACTCTAATATGTTCTCAGACCCCCTTTCCTGGGACAGTATGGAACCCTCCCCTCTTTCACCTCCTCTCGCCTGGGGGCCAGGGTCATGTGTCCTGACCTAGAGTTCCCCACTTATCCTTTTAAAAACAAATAAATAAAAATAAACAACTATGCTGGCATACTGGTATAGTTACACAAATTTGGCATGAACAGTTCCAGAGTACCCACCTGCTACCAGCTGCTTTTCTCCCAGCAGTATAACATTTGCCTAGGTACAAGGCAACTTAGGCAGTTGCCTACAGCTGGGGAGTTAATTCACTTTTGTTCTAACCCAATAATGAAGTGTTTTATCTCTTGGTTTATGATTTTTTTATTTGGGGGGCCAGTATTAGAGAAGTGTCGGGGGTTAAGCTGCCACTTGTGAATCTCATCTCATGTTGGAATCCCACTTAGAGTGCTGTGTTTCCTGCCCAGCTTCTTGCACATGTTCCTGTGGAGGCAGTGGAAGATGGCCCAAGTACCTGGGCCCTTGCTGCCCATGTGGAAGGCTTAGATTGCATTCCTGCTCTTTGCTTTAGCCTAGCAGTGGCATTTATTTGGGGAATAAATTAGCAGGTGAAGTTTCTCTCTCTCTCTCTTGCTCACCTTCTTTGTCATTCTGCCTTTTAAATAAATCAAATAAATAGATAAATAAATCCCCAAACTAAAATAGACTTTTTGGTTTTGTTTGCTCCCTTCTGTTTATTCTGAAAATACCTTGTACTTATTCTCAAGTTTCTGAGTCTAGTTTCCTTAGCACTTGATTCATTCAAGTTTGCGTATTTTTAGGCTATTCAGAAATACTAACAGCAATAATGAAAAAAGCAGGTACCAATTATTGATCTTGTTTTAATTCTAGAAAGTAAATGATGCGAAAAGAACCCAGAAAGAATTTTATGAAATGGAACTTAAAAACCTGCAAAACAGATTGGAAGGGGAGGTGACTCAATTAAACGAGGCCCATTCTAAGACTTTGGAAGAATTAGCTTTGAAGCACCATATGGCAATTGAGGCTGTCCACAGTAATGCAATCAGGGACAAGAAAAAGCTGCAAATGGTGAGTAAAAATTTGTAAATTAATGGAATTTCTGTAATGGTCCAGTGTGACCTCTGTTGAGGTGCAATGATTTGGATCATTTTGAGGACTGCTTTTGTGAAGCCATTCTTTAAATCATGGTTCAGAGGGTAAAAAACATTCAAGTTCTTAACATGAGATGCATTCTGTTGAGCTGATTGGGGATGCTGCCATTTGATGTAAGGCATCATGGGAACACTTTCTGGATCCTGAGCTCTTTGTAACACAGTGAAATAAGCGTGCTCCACTGGAAGCCCAAGCTAGTTGCACCACATCATGTCTTGTGGATAGTTTCCTTCCCTTATGTTTTTTTTTTTTTAAAGATTTATTTCTATTATTTTTTCATTGGAAAGGCGGATATACAGAGAGGAGAGACAGAGAGGAAGATCTTCCATCCGATGATTCACTCCCCAAGTGAGCACAACGGGCCGATACTATGCTAATCCGAAGCCAGGAGCCTCTTCCGGGTCTCCCACACGGGTGCAGGGTCCCAAAGCCTTGGGCTGTCCTCGACTGCTTTCCCAGGCCACAGGCAGGGAGCTGGAAGGGAAGCGGGGCTGCCGGGATTAGAACCGGTGCCCATATGGGATCCCGGGCGTGCAAGGTGAGGACCTTTAACCACTTGCGCCACCGCGCCGGGCCCCCCCTTATGTTTTTTGCTTGTTTTCTTCTCCAAGTACTCAGCTTGCTATTGGCAGCATGTGACAGACACTAATGTGTCTTTGAAGGAACATAATGTCTAGCCAACCTGGGCTTCCCCCAGAGCTCTGCTAAGGCTGCCCATCTGCCAGAAAGATTTGTTCTGTCTCAAGAGTGTTCCTGCGAGACCTAACTGAGAACAAGTGTTGAGTTCCCAGCCATGCCCAAGCATATGGTGATAAATAAATATTAGGGATTACCACCTCCTGCTGCAAGCCAGACATGCCAGGCATGTTTGGCTTGTATCATTCCATTTAGTCCTCAGACCCTGCTGTTGGTTTGATTGTACTGCCTCACTCACTGAAGAGAGCTGTACACAGGCACATGCAGCTTGCAAAACAGTCAGCTTTGGACTTAGATCCTAGCTCTCGCAGGTCCCAAGGCATTTCAGTACCACATAGATGCTGATTAATGATGGTTGTTATGTGGTTCACATAGTAGCACTTTACAATTGACAAAAGGCTTTCTTTTTACACTGCCTAATCCTTAAGGCTTAGACATTTGTATCATTATTAGGTAGATGGTGAGATAGGTTTAATAAACCTGCTCGATTTACTCAGCATAACAAACCTTACAAGTAGACAAGACAGGATGGAAATTGTGACTTCCTGCTTCATTATGTGTTTTTCTGATGGGGACTTGTTGGAAAAACATTTAAAACTAAATAAACTTAATTTAAAATTCAAGTAAAATTTGTTGTTATAATGTTACAACTTTCTAAACTTACTCCTCGATGTTTATGCAATCAGAGACAAAATTTAATGGCGCATAATTATTTTCTGAAGATCGTGATTACAGTTTTCTCTTTGCCAGCTCACTGTACTATTCTAGGACCAGTTCTGCAACTTTAATTACATGGTGTATGTGTGTGCTTAGGGGCTCCAGATGCATGCACCAAATGTTTAAGGTGTTTTGTACTGAGCTGTCTGGTGGTAGCTGCTACTTTTGTTTTTTTTTTTTTTTTTTAAAGATTTATTTTTATTATTTTGTTATTGGAAAGGCAGATGTACAGAGAGGAGAGACAGAGAGGAAGATCTTCCATCCGATGATTCACTCCCCAAGTGAGCGCAACGGGCCGATGCTATGCCGATCCGAAGCCAGGAGCCTCTTCCGGGTCTCCCACGTGGGTGCAGGTTCCCAAAGCTTTGGGCCGTCCTCGACTGCTTTCCCAGGCCACAGGCAGGGAGCTGGAAGGGAAGCGGGGCTGCCGGGATTAGAACCGGCGCCCATATGGGATCCCGGGAGTACAAGGCGAGGACCTTTAACCACTTGCGCCACTTGCGCCACCGCGCCGGGCCCTAGCTGCTACTTTTGTAAATTCTTCCTAGCTCTCTTTTAATTACTGTTTTTCATTTCTACATCTTTTTTTTTTCCACTTTGGCTGCTGCTTCTAGTATTGGCATATTTAAATTGCATGTGTCCTGCCTTCACCTTCCTTTATTTCTATATAATTTAAAAGCTAGAATCAAGGCATATTTCATCAGTGTCATTATTACTTCATTGCTTCACTCCTGATCTTCCACTCACCTGATTAAATTTTAATTTTCAAACTACATAAAAACCTGCTTTAGCTGCTTACCTGTCTTATAGTCTTTCTCTTAAGTCATGGTTGCCAAAAAGCAGGTGAAATGAGATTTCTTGTATGTGGATGTATTTAGAAGCTTGCTGCTTCGTTTCTGTCTGTCCTGGTTAGCTGCTGTCTAAGCTGCAGTGGAAACCTTTCCTTTTCCACGGTTGTCTTTCTCTAACGTCAAATTAGCTTTTAGAGAAACTTTAGCTGAAGATGACTTTCGCTCACCTTATTATTTACCACTTGTTCTACACTTCCCGTGGTAACTCTATCACCCCTCCAGTCTGAAAGCTGGTATATGTGAAAGAGTTAATACAGCAAGAATAAGCAGTGGCTCACAGTGCTGAACTGTTAATGTATGCAGTGTGGCTTGTGATGAATACCTGTTTTCTTTTGGGGATCTGGAATTTTGGTGCCAAGAAAAAGATACAGTTAAAACAAAACCAAGCAAAAACCTGGGACCTGAGCGCCTCGTAACTACCCTAGCAGATAACAGCATTTCACATGAGCCGTCACACTTGCCGAAGGAATTACGCAGGTCCTGTGTGAGAGGGCTCCTGGAAGCCCGGCCTGATGTCCTGCAGAATTTTTCCCAGATGTCCCAAACGTGATTAGACACTGATGCCTGTGAGTCACAGCAAATCATCAAAGCTGGGTTTGTTTCAGGGTCCCCTGACAGGGAACTGTATTGTTGCTACTCCCAAGTCAAAGACTAGGGGAACATTGAACTGCTGGAAACCTGCCCTGCTTCCCTGGAACCTCCGTGCTGTTTAGAGTATGCCTTTTCTACAATACTGAGCTCTGCTCCTGCTCCACCACTTCACCTCTTTGTACACTTCTTCAGGCTGGTCCTGGGAATTGCTGCCTCTCTAAAGGTTTTCCCACTGAGCTAGACATTATTAATTCCTCATTTTACTCCTGTCTCTGCATGTATGTCTGCTCTTAGTATTCTTTCGTTATGTGCTACGATGAATTTATAGTGTGGAGGCACATGTCATATTGCCTTAGTATCTCAAGAATGAAGCAGTCTGCCTAGAAACTTGTGCTTGGTCTTCAGTGGGTATTAATTTTACTGGTTCTGCTCTTCAGATGCCTTAATTTGGTGCTATTGTAATTCTCTTCTAGGTTCTAGTACTGGATGATTGAGTTCCAGAAATGATAATGTACTTTGATTTTTATGTAAATACAAAGGAATTCTAAAGATACAGATTTTTATGTCTCATCAGATTATTTTTATCATATGGGCACTGGTTTGAGTCCCAGCTGCTCAATTTCTGACCCAGCTCCCAGCTAACACACCTGGGAAAGCATCAGAATATGGCCCAAGTCCTTGTGCCCTGCCATCCATGCGGGAGACCCCAGTATAGTTCCAGGCTGGCCCAGCACAGCTGTTGTGGCAACTGAGCAGTAAACCACCAGCTCCCTGTCTGTCTTTAACTCCACCTTTTAAGTAAATAAATGCTTTTTTAAAAAAAAAAAAAAAAGACAGAATAACCTTTTTCTTAGATTTTTTAAAATATACAATGTTGGCAAATTCATTAATTAAAGACAATTTCTTTTTCTAAGGAGTTGGAAGAACAATATAAAAAGGAGAAGCTACACCTAGAAGAGGATAGGAAGCAGCTCCAACTTGAGCTCGAAAACCTGAAGGAAGTTCTGGAAGGCAAGCTGAGCACAGCCAACCAGGAGGCAAGGATGTGTTTGCTTTTCACCTGCATTTAAATGCATTAATGAGAGTCACCTGCTCTGATTGCATTGCACACAAGGTTGAGAAGCACGGAATGTGACATTTGGAGTGAAAATAGTCAACAAACTTGAATTAATCCTGAATTTGTCCTAACACTTTAATTATGTGCCAGAGGTTAAACCATTCTGCCAAAAGCACTCAACCAGCTGTCAACCCAGATATTTCACAAGTTCTAGACAGTGACAACTAAAGTACTCTTTTTTTTTTTGACAGTCTTCACATAATTGGGATAAAAAGGTTCAAGGGCTACAGGAAAGTGGGTAAAACTATTATTTCCATATTGTTTCCTTTATGTATCTGAGGAAAATGGGGATATTAAGGGAGAAACCCATCCAGTCTCCCACCCATCCCAGGTCCCGGATGTAGGGCATGCTCCGAGGATCTTGTCAAGTGCTTTTGATAGTTCAACAGTTATGAATCACTGCCACTCCCACCATTCCAAGCATGGTGAGGTCGTTGAAGAATCCACTGATTGACATAGTCCATCTTAGAGTCTCCATTTGCCTAGTTTTTCACTTTCAACATGTAGCTGAGGTGGCTGTTGACTTGTTCTGTCCTCTGTCTTTTCATGATTAGGGTTCTGAGTCCGGAAAGCTCGATTTGGGAGATCCTCAAAGAAACTTTGTCTGAGGTGTTCCCAGGTCAGATTTCTGTGTGTACTTGCCAGTACAGGGCCCGGCACAGTTCATTGCCCTGATCAGCTGGTGGTTGCAATTGCTGGGTCTGTTCTGTTTCCAGCCCTGACTTTCACTGGAACCAGTGGGTGTTGCAGTCCAGCCTGGTTCTGCCCAGCACACACTGGGCCCTCGCATAAACCAGTGGGAGCTGCAGCCTAGTCAGAGCAACCCACAATAACCCGCACCAGGCCCGCCCCCTACCCTGGCTTGCCAGTATGTGCAGCAGGCTAGTCCAGTCTGTCCCACATCCCCTTCTACTCTCACACATGTCAGTGGGTATTAAATCCTAATTCCAGCTAACCAGCTCAACAATCCAGCCCTCACGGATGTTGTTGGGTGCCTCTCTGTGTAGCCATCCCAGCCCCTGGCCTAGTTTTCGTGCCCTCCCATGGGAGTGGTAACCCCAGAGAGAGGAGCCCACTATTTCCCTCCCAGGCCTCTCCCACTCCCGGATTATGCTCTTTCCAGGTGGTTCTGTGATTTAACTTGACAGAATTAGCCCCCATTGCTAGCTTCTTCCAGCTGATGCTTGGCAGCTAAGCCTGAACAACCCTCACCCATTCTAAATTTAAAGCACTCTTTAACACGAAAATATTAGAGTTTAGCCTGGAAAAGGGAAGATTGAGAAAATAACACAAAGAAACATCACAAACCTTTGAAAAATTGTGGATGAAACAAATGTAAAGCCATTTGAAAGATTGTGTTAATTTGTTCTTTCACTTTGTCTCCCCCTGCCTGTTGAGATCATGCCCTAGCATAGCCTGTCTGCCATCAGCCCCTACTTCCTTCCCAGTTCTTCCAGTTGTGCGTTGTTCTACAAAGACAGCTCTTGCTTTTCACAAGATCTCATCTTGTCGGCCGTCCCCCGCTCGCTAGGGTGGCCTTCACTAACAGCCTCTAACTCCTGCTTTCTCGTCATCTCCAAACACAGGTGCCCTGGCAGGCTGATAATCTGCCTTTCATGTTCTTTTGTGTTCTTGAAACATTAAATCCAAAGAAAGGCCCTCTGCTGCACAGGGAGGGAAGGAGGAGATAGAAGGTGTCATCCCAGCTGCCGACCCTGGTGTCTGCGATTCTTGCTGGTCTCGTGTCCACTCCTCTCTCAGCGACACATGGCCCTAGTTAGTGTGTCCTACTTGCAGTTAACAGACAATTTAGTGACCATCTGTGCTGCTCAGGCAGGCCCCTCAGGGTTCCTTTCTTAGTTCCAAATATTTTAGTATTCCTCCAACCCAGATATCCTCATCTCACTGAGAAGGATTTTAGTAAACATAGAACTTACTTTCCCTCTGGCTGCACTGTCATTTAGGTCTTGGCACCTTACTATTACTTTGCGGCCACTTTGCAGCAGCTGCCCAAGAATTTCTCTGCCCATACTTCCACATGCTTCTGCCTTTACTTAGTCTTCGATGTCTTTTTGCTTGTCCTGTTTTGCTGAATAGAATCTCCAAAGATCATCCGTGTTCTTACTTTGTTTCCCAAGGTTACCAGCATTTCACAGTTAGTTGTGGTGCTTCTCCAATGTTTTCCTTTGTGAAAACCCTTTTATCAGTGCTAGGAGAGCCTTTGATTTTTTAACACTAATTTCCAAATTGAAAAACAAAGTTAATTTTTTTGTTTATTAATGTATTTCCCTATAATTTGTTAATGTATATTATAGTAATCAGTTTTTACATATTTGAGATGGGCCTTTGTCCCAGCAGTTAAAATGGCCACAGTGGTCCACAGAGTGCCTGGGGTTGGTGCCTTCCCCTGACTTTCAACTGTAGCTTCTGCTAAAGCAGACCCTGATGGACAGTAGTGATATCACACATGACTAGATCCCTGTCACCCACGTGGGAGACCTGGGTGGACTTCCAGCTCCCTGCTTTGGCCCCAGCCAGGGACTGTTGAGGACATTTGGAGAGAACCAGCAAATGGAGTGTTCCATGCTTTATTTCACTCTTGCTCTTCTTCATAGCCTCTTATGAAGTTTTTTAAATGAAAATTTGAGCTTTAAAAATAATTCTTGGTTAGGCATGATATATATATGCATATATTTATTATTATTATTATTATCATTATCATTATTTTGTAAGGCAGTTCCATAGGCCCTGGGATTTCCCTTTACCCTTTCCTCAAATCCATTCTTGGCACTGAGTTCCTCTATATTGTTACAGTAGTTCTTCATAAATAGTCATAAGTCCATCAATGCAGACATGGACAGTGGCAGAGTCCAGTATCCTGTTGTCAAAATATATATAACAGTTTCGTTGGGAATCCATCTTTGATCTGGAAGTAGAGTTGCTTACTGTGTTGGATATAATAGACTGGATATCAAATCTGGATATGCTGGATATGATAGTCTCCATTACACAGTTACTATACATCCCCTTAAATGAAAAGCTACAAAACAAAATCAACAACAGTAATAAAAATAGAAATTTGTAACGCCATAATGTTAAATAACATGCTACTGAGTGACTTGTGTGTTGCTGAAGAAATAAAAAAGAAAATCAAGTTCCTTTTTGAAGAAAAGGATGCTACTGTATGATCTGTGAATCAGTAAAGAATTTAATCAGAAAAAAAAACTGTTTTGAAGAAATGAAAACAAAAACAAAGACATCAAAATCAATGCAATATGGTTTCCACTGATTTTTGTTGGAGAGTTGTGTTTCCTATAGGCAATAAGTAGGTTTCTTTTAATTCAGTCTACTAATCTAAGATTTTTTTTCATGAGTTTAAGCCATTTACATTTATGGTTAACATGTTTGGGTGGTAATTTGGTTCTGTTATTTTAGCAATGAGTTGTTCATTGATTTAGTCTTCTATTGTTATTTTACTGGGATGTTCTTTGCATTTGCCTTTGGTTTTGGTGGGCACTGTTCTTCTCTGTCAAGAGAATATCTTAGTATCATTTGTAGGGCTGGTTTGGAAGAGGCATGTTCTTTTAACTTTGCTTTACTGTGGAAGAAATTTGTTTCGTTTTGAAAGACAAAGGAAAACTTTGTTGGGTACATTATTCTAAGCCAACACTTTTTTGCTTTTAGAATCTGGAATATGTCACTCCATTCTCTTCTGGCCTGTAGAGGTGTCTGTGAGAGGATAACTGTGAATTTAAGTTTTCATGTGATTTTCATGATTGAAGAGAGCTTGAATATCATGTGTCATGGTGAAGATCACTTTTGGTCAACCCTGTTGGGAGTCTGTGTCCCTCCTGGATGTTGTTTCCCAATTCTTTCTCCAGATTAGGGAAATTTTGCTCTACTATTTTATGAAATACATTTTTTAAACCCAGTTTCTTTTTCTGCCCCTTCTGGAACTTCCATAACTCTTACATTTGGCCTTTTAATATGTCTGTTAATTCTTGAATACTTCTTTTAGCTTGACCCAGCTCTACTTCCAGCTTTTTGATTGTTTCTCCATGTGGGAAGAATATCTTCCAATTCTGAGATTCTTTCTTCAGCCTCCTTCATTCTATTGTGGAGACTTTCCACTGAATTGCCCTGTTGTGTCCTTCATTGCCAATAACTCAACTTGATTTTGTTTCACTGTTGCTATTTCCTGTGTGATACTCCTTAAATTCCTTGACCTTCTGTATGTGCTTCTCATTGTTGATAATAAGCTTTATAACAAGTATTTTGAATTCTGTATCCATTTTCTTGATATATTCCTCATTCAACTCTGAGATTGGCAAGGGCTTTTGTCCTTTGCAGGAGAGTCTCCAGTAATATTAATTGTGTCTTTGTCTCTTCTTTTGCTCTTGGTCATTGTACTTCTGGTTATCAGATTCTCCTTAGGGCAGGTTTCTGAGCTGTGTCCTCCACAGATCTGCAACTCAGTTTTACTTTCTGCAGTTGGTACACAGCTTTTTGTTTGCAGTCACCCTTGCACTCCTTCCAGGGAGCTTTAGATCTGTCTGGGCTCTTGTGTTAAACTTCTCCCACAGTCTCCAAAGCCCCAGGGCTGGGCTCACCACTATCCACCTCCTGTGACTGTCTTGAGGCTGTACCATTGTCTGTACAACGTTGCTGTCATTTCCAATTAGAGAGCAGTTCCCAGGATTAGAGAGACACCCGGTGTCCTAAATAGCTCAGTTCCTGGTGGTGCTGATCTTGCCAGAACCTGCTTGCTGTTATGTCTGAGGGCTTCATAAGATACCAGAGTCGAAATTTTGGATTTCGGTAAATTTGCTCCCAGCTCAGCACATGCACAGCTTACTTTTTTTTGTTGAATTTTTTATTTTGAATTCTGGAATTTTATGGTACAATTTATATAGACTGGGATTCTCCCCCAAACTCCCACCCCTGACAGACTTTCCTCATGTTGCTACGATAATCTAGTCCTTCATAAGGAATCATAATTCCATTAGACTGTGATTTAGCACAGCTTGCTTTTGTCCCTGCAGTGTCAAAGCCTTTGACAGCCTATACCAAATGGCGCCTCTTGTGTGGCTAATGGCGTTCTTGATCTGCTGGCCATTACATCTGGGGGCTACCTGGACCTATTTTGGGTGGAACCTGCAGAATGCCATGTTGTTGAAATGTGTTTGCATGATATAGTTTGATATAATGTTAAATACTACTTGCTAATATTGGGTTTGAGCTTGGGGACTTGGGTTCAAGAAAGACAGTATTTTTCTTTTTGCATACCATTACATTTCTGATTTTTAAGTCAACCTTGTACCAACCTCAGAATATAAAGCAGAATGTATTACCTCAGTTATTTTCTGGAATAGTTGTATGACATTGAAATGACTTTAAACCTTGATTATATTATCATTAAAAGTTGTAGTGTGGGGCCCGGCGTAATAATCCAGTTGCTAAATCACCACTTCGCATGGATATTCCATATGGATGCCGGTTCATGTCCCAGCTGCTCTACTTCCCTTCCAACTCCCTACTTGCAGCCTGGGAAAGCAGTCAGGGATGGTCCAAAGCCTTGGAACCTGCACCTGGGGTAGGATTGGGGGAGGTTCCTGGCTGGTGGTTTCAAATTGGCTCAGCTACCATTGTTGTTGGACCACTTTGGGAGTGAACCAGTACACAGATCTTTCTCTCTGTATCTGCTTCTCTCTGTATATCTGCCTTTCCAATAAAAATGAACAAATCTTCACAAAAAAATAAAAATTAAGGAAGTTGTGATGTGTATGAAAAAAATTTTGAAGCTTACTCAGATTGGTTTTGTGAGTTTTATGACCGATTACATGCTTGAAATTGAAAGTTCTGATTGTGCTCCTTATTTCAGTATACTGCCATTGTGGACCCTATGAGGCAGTAGTGATTGCTTAAGTATTGGGTTCCTAACACTAACATGAGAGGCTTGGGTTTAGGTCCCAGTTATTGGATTTGTATTTTTTAAAAGAGTTATTTGTTTTTATTGGAAAGGAAGATTTACAGAAAGAAGGAGAGACAGAGAGAAAGATCTTTTGTCCACCACTGATTCACTCCCTAAGTGTTCACAACAGCTGGCGCTGAGCCCATCCAAAGGCAGGAGTCTTTTCCAGGTCTCCCACACAGGTGCAGAGTCCCAAAACCTTGGGCCGTCCAAAAGTGCTTTCCCAGGCCACAGGCTGAATGGGAAGTGGAGTAGCTAGGACATGAACTGGCACACATTAGGGAATTCTGGAATGTGCAACGTGAGAATTTACCCACTGGCCCATCATGCCAGGCCAGTTCTTGGCTTGAATCTCTTTCTGCCCTCTTCTCTGACTCTTAAATAAATGTAAATAAATGTAAATTATAATGAATTATTTCAAAAAAATTTTTTCTGCCTTTGATTTGATTGTCTTGCTTCAGTTCTTTTGCAAAGGTTTTTATTATATGATAGAATTGGAAATTCCCAAAAAAAAAAAAAAAAAAAAGAATTGGAAATTCCCTCTATTATACCCAGAGGTTAAGAGATATAGCCATTTCTTGATACTTTGTCCCCTAAGAAAGAAATCATAACTGTGAAAGTCCTCAAAACACAAGTCATGATAAGGCTCTTGTGATTATTTGAGTGTCTCCTCAAATTTATCTAGCAATGTTCATCCAAGAATTATAACCAAAGAAAACACTTTGAGAAGAAACCATGAAACTTTTGCGGCTCTACTGCAGTGAAATGTGTTAAAAGGACTCCAATTTCCTTACAGATTGGCCGTCTCCAAGATCTGGTAAGCAAAAGTGAGCAAGGTCTTGGCTCTGCTGAAGGACTGATCGTCAGTCTCCAGGACTCCCAGGAAAGACTTCAGAATGAGTTGGCCTTGACCAAAGGCAGGCTAAAGGAGACCAAAGATGCTCTGTTAAATGTGGAGGTAAATCCCTAATCCTACTCTGCAATAAAATTATAGCTTAACCACATTGCTTAAAGGCTTATTTAAATATCATGCCGTATATAGTAAGCGTGTTGGGTTCCAAGACTGCTGTAAAAAAGGACTACAGACTGGGTGATGTAGAACTAAAGGAGCGTATTGTTGTCACAGCCTGGAGGCTAGAAATCAAGATGTTGGCAGGGCCATGATCACTCCAAGCCTTCTAGGGAGTGATCCTTCTTTGCCTTTTCCAGCTTCTGCCCAGGAAGTCCTTGACGTTTGGCAGCGTGATTTTAATCCTCTGTCTTTACATCTTATTCTTTTTTTTTTTTTAAGATTTGTTTTTATTGCAAAGTCAATTATACAGAGATGGGGAGAGACAGGAAGATCTTCCATTCATTGATTCACTCCCCAAGTGACCCCAACGGCCAGAGCTGCACCTATCCAAAGCCAGGAGCCAAGAGCTCTTCCGGTTCTCCCACATGGGTGCGGGGTCCCAAGGCTTTGGACCATCCTCTACTGCTTTCCCAGGCCACAAGCAGGGAGCTGGATGGGAAGTGGGGCTGCCAGGATTAGAACCGACGCCCTTATGTGATCCCGGTGCTTTCAAGATGAGGACTTTAGCTGCTAGACCACCACGCTGGGCCCACATCTTATTCTTATAAGGATAATTGTCCTGATGGAATCAGGGCCTACCCTGCTGCAGTATGATTTCACCTTAAATAAATGCATCTGCACTAACCTTATCTTAAGTGAGGTCACTTTCTGACTGATGAGGGAGTTAAGTTTTTGTATCTTTTCTGGGACCATAATTCAACTTGCAGCACTTGGTGCGTGCGATTTGTTCTACTGATATAAGAGGGTACCAACTGTGTTCTTATCAGTGATCCACAAATTACAGGAGGGATCTTTCCCATCACATTCTCAAGGAACCTGATAAAAATGTACACTGCCTTAGAAAATCAGGAAGAAAATCTGTCCAACTATAGAATAGTGGTCAGGGAGTTAATATTCCTTCAGAGTGAAGTGTGCAGTACAGGCTCTGAAATCAGGTGGTAAATTTGGTTCCATCACTTAATATGTAATTTAGGCAAAATCTAGATTTCTTCATTGTGTGATGAAGGAAGAGTGGAGATGATACTAAATATCATTTTTTTAAATTAAGATAAACCAATTAACAGCATTGTGCTTAGCAGAATGATAAATAATAAATGTTGGCAGAGGCCCATTGCTGCCAGAGTTGTCCAAAGAGGTCACCATCAGCCCCAGGCTTTAGAGAGCAAGTTGATTTATGTAAATTTAAGATTATTTCATATGTATTATATCACTGTAATAATAAACGCTTGAAACGCTGGCTTGAAGTTATATAATGAAAATTCAGTAACCTAAATTTCAGTCATTTAATCATGTTAGTGGGAGATAATTGTAATGAACAAATAGCATACCTGTGTAACTCTCAGTGCATCTGAATAGCCTTTGTTTATACAGTATATTTTGTTGTTATGTTATCATGAAATTAAAAGTTTAATTAAGATGATTAATACTTGGGACTGATATTGTGATATAGTTGGTTAAGCCACCGCCTACAGCATCTGCATTCCATATGGGCACTGGTCTTGGCTGTTCCACTTCCATTCCAGCTGCCTGGGAAAGCAGCAGAGGATGGCCCAAGTGCTTGGATCCCTGCATCCAATTGGCAGACCTAGAAGAAGGTCCTGGCTTCAGTCTCGCCCAGCCGTGCTGGCCCTTTGGGAAGTACACCAACAGGTGGAAGAGCTTTGTCTCTTTCTGCTTTCTCTTTCTGTAAAACTCTTCCAAATAAATAAATAAATACATATATTTTAACAAGATGATTTAAATAATTTGTGCTTAATTAACAATAGTGCTTAATTAAACAGTTTATCTAAGGACATTTAAAACAATAAAATATGCTCTGTATACTTCCAGGTTGCCATTCATTGTGCTGTAAGAATTTAAAAATTATGATGCAAGCATTCTAGTGATCTGAGCTAACCAGCAGTGTCTTTGCTTTTGAAGAGCCTCTTCATTGGGAAGGCTTTTTTCTTTTTCAGGCTGAGCTAGAACAAGAGAGGCAACAGCATGAAGAAACACTTGCTGCCATGAAGGAGGAAGAGAAATTCAGAGTGGACAAAATGGCCCACGACCTAGAAGTCAAGTGGACTGAAAATCTAAGGTACAGTCTTGACCCTGCAATGTGGTCACAGCAGCACAGCCATTGTGTTGCTCAGGACATAGCAGCAGTGTTTTGAATGATTAGGTGCAGAGAAATTGGAGACTTCTTTTCCCTTACATTTAGATGTTTCTCTCCTTGAACATAAGATACAGAACAAATCTAAGCTCAGAAGGCGTGTTTGCTCACAGATTTGTGAAGCAGATTAATCAAGTGCTAGAAGACCTGCGAACAGTTGTAGTTCAGTTCCTGAGGGGAATACTTCATTACAAAGTAAAAAGCATTTATTTTATTTTAGACATGAGTGTTCTAAACTTCGTGAAGAGTTAAGGCTTCAACATGAAGAGGATAAAAAATCAGCAATGTCTCAACTTTTACAGTTAAAAGAGCGAGAAAAAAATGCAGCCAGGGATTCATGGCAGAAGAAAGTAGAAGACCTCTTAAACCAGGTAATTAATAATCCACACATCATGGAAGTTCATGTCATTTGCATCCCCTCACAAGGGAAGTTCGGTAGAACACTGCTAACTTACTGTATTTTGTTCCCCAGAAAATAATTTCTTGGGTGGAAAATAAAATTTTTAGAAATGCATAAAATCTAAGAGGCATTCATAAATCTGTGGAACATTGCCTAAACATTGTTATATGGGCAGTACTAGATACTGAGAATTTATAGTTTTTTAGTTTAATATTTGTAAATGAATGTATTAGGTTTTAAATAAGAAAGTTACCTATTTTTGGAAAAGATAAAATCCTTTCTCAGGTGAGTGAACAGCATTTGGGCAACAGCGGATAAAATGTGTCAGCATGTCCTGGTAGCCTAAGTTGCTCCCTCAGAGTGAACATTCTATTTCCTGTGTCACCAGTGGGGTATTTATTGCTTGTTGTGCTTTAGAATGCCTAAGTCCCTTAGAGAAGAGATTTTACATACAAGACAAAGGTGTTTCTAAATTTCTTCTTTGTCATGCTCTCCTTATATCGTGTATAATTATAATTGAAAGAACTTTCATACTTTAACTCATTTATACAAGTTCTAAATGTGTGAAGTCTTGACATTCTGCAAAGCTGGTAATTAAACAGAACTAACTGATGAGTCACCAGTTAATAAGCAAGTGTAGAACTTGGACAAGAAACAGTACAGTAATTAGTGCTGCCATTATCCATCTATTTGTGATCATGATGAATTTCTAAATAAGTGGGGTAGGCTTCTTACGAGATACTTTATTATGCAGGTACACAAATGCAGTATCTGTCAGGAAGGCTTAGGGCTTGCCAGTTTCTGCCTGGCATTTTATATATATATAGATTATATATATATAGATATATATAAATCTATAAAATCTAATTTTTATATATATATGAATCTATATATATATAAACCTATATATATATATAATGCCAGGAAGAAATATATATATATATATATACTTATATATATATATATATATATATAAATCTATCTCTATATATAAATATATATATATATATAAATAGAGGCAGCTCTCATCTTCTGGCTCATCATTTTGATGTTACTGTGGAAGGGGAGAAGACAGTCTTCTGTGTTTAAACTTTTGTAAAATCATTTGAAATCTGGGCCCGGCGCAGTGGCGCAGTGGTTAAGGTCGTCGCCTTGCATGCCCGGGATCCCATATGGGCGCCGGTTCTATCCCAGCAGCCCCACTTCCCTTCCAGCTCCCTGCCTGTGGTCCGGGAAAGCAGTCGAGGACGGCCCAAAGCTTTGGGATCCTGCACCCGCGTGGGAGACCCGGAAGAGGCTCCTGGGTTTGGATTGGCACAGCATTGGCCGTTGCGCTCACTTGGGGAGTGAATCATTGGACGGGAAGATGTTCCTCTCTGTCTCTCCTCTCTGTATATCTGCCTTTCCAATAAAAAAAATAATAAAAATAAATCTTTAAAAAAAATCATTTAAAATCTTTGAAATTCAGACAAAAATAAGAACAAGGAAATCACTCCAAGTAGAAGTGGATACCGTGTTAGCATTGCTTACTGGTTGCCCTTTCTACAATCACTTTACCTTCCTGCTTCAGGCCCATGCATTACAAGTTGTGCATCCAGGGCCTAGTGCCATGACCTAGTGGCTAAACTCCTTACCTTGCACACACCAGGATCCCACATGGGTGCCAGTTCCTGTCCTGGATGCTTCACTTCCCTTCTAGCTCCCTTCTTGTGATCTGGGAAGGCAGTAAAGGACGGCCCAAAGTCTAGGGACCCTGCACCTGCGTGGGAGACCTGGAGGAGGCTTTTGACTCGTGGCTTCAGATCAGCTCAGTTCTGACTCTTGTGCCCGCTTGCGGGGTATACTGGCAGATGGAGCATTGTGCTCTGTCTCTCCTTCTCTCTGTAAATCTACCTTTCCAATACAAAACAATTTTTTTTAAAGAAAACAACAACAAGTTGTTTATCCAGGAAGTTTTAATTCATTCTGTTGCATAATAAAAATAAAAAATAACCCCACAAGTCTGCCTGAGTTTTCAGCCAGAAGTGCTGAGTGGACTTAGTTGATCGCATTGTACAGAGGGCATGGCACTTCTGCCTCTTCCCATTACATATCTTATCTGCTTCCCTTTACCTCTTTTATATCGTGAGATTTCTCCCATGCTTTATGGTTTTAAATTTTTTCCTTCCTTTTTTCTATCTTTTCTTTCCTTATTTGTTATCCTTTGATGTTCATTTCTGAGAGGACCTAATGCTTTGCATCTTAGATTCCATCTATCATAAAAAAATTATATTTAACACTTTCTCCAGGTTTTGCCAAATTCATAGAGTGATTAGAAGAAAAAACTAGTTTTCAAATAAATATCGAGATAACTAGGAATTAACTTGCATGAAAATGAAACTGCTGTGATACCTCGTGCCATCATATCTAAGATTCCAACATTGTACTCTACCCCAGTTTCTGAGATGTGTAGGACATACCTACTGCTATAGGTAACCACATGTAAGAGGTGGGAGAATTATATTAGGATTAATGGCTTTTCAAAATTTTCTTTAATGATTATTTATATGAAGGAGTGACACAGAGAGAGGAACAGAGGAGGAGAGTGAGCTATCTTCCCATCTGTGAGTTCATACCTCCAGTACCTGCACTAGCCAGGGCTGGGCCAGAGTGCAGTCAACTTAGGCAACAGGAACCCAAGGACTTGATCTATAACCTGTTGTCCCCAAGGCAGCACAGATGGCCAGCAAGGTATCCAGGACTGCAACAGGCCCTCCAGTGTGGGATACAAATGTCCCAAGAAGTGGCTCAACCGTTGAGTCACAATATCACCCCCACTCCCATGGTTGTTTCTTAATGAAACTCTCTTATGATGATAGAATCTTTCCTTCCTGGTCTGTTGTGGCTTGTTCTCTTGACTCTCAAGTGGATTCCTAAGCTGCTGTCTTGAAACCTGTTCTGCCGCTTTCCACTTGGATCTGTTTGTCGTACCCTCTACTCACCTGCTCTGAGCTGGGTGACCATTCCGTCCATTCACAGGTAAAAGCAGATATTACAGAAAATTATCAGAAAAGTTGTGCTTTGAAATATTCAACTACTTCTGAGCAAACTGAGCATTACACTATTATTATATCAGTATTCCTATGCACCATATAGTGCAAAGAAGAAACAGGAATGATTTGTCTTTTAACAGCATTTAAAGTTTTGATAGTTTAATTTGGTTTTAACTTACTTTTCTGGCTTCTCTAAAAATGGACATAGAATTGATTTTCACTTTCCTTGAACCAGACATTTTTAAGTTCATGAAATTTCCCAAAAGTTTTTGTTTTCACTTGGTGCTCTAAGTTGGGCTGTTTTGTATCTTAGTCTTTCTTTAATATCCCTTTATGTTCTTCAAGGCCAGTTACTCTTCTTGGTGTAATCAGTGTATATATGTGAATTCTTTCAAAGCAAAAAGAAATGTGCACTTTTCCCCACAAACTCTCATTTAGAGTGGTTTTGTATATGGAGTTTTCTGTGATTGTAATTAAAATGCCATGACATCGTCCTGTATTTCACCATTTTGTAAGACAGCTTTCCTTGGGTCATATTTGATGATGTGTTTATTCAGCTTCATTCAGAACCTTTATTCAGAGATCAGGGAGGCACTCGGATCATTCAGACATGGAGCTATAGAACTGTGCAATTTGGGTCTGGATCTCTATCTTGCCATTGGGACATTGAGGCTCCCAAATATTTTTAGCTAGCTATAATCATGTAGATGACATTTTAAAAAGATTTATTTATTTTTGTTGGAAAGTCAGATTTTACAGAGAGAAGGAGAGATAAAGAGGAAGATCTTCCATCCGATGTTTCAATGGCTGGAGCCAAGCAGATCCGAAGCTAGGAGCCAGGAGCGTCTTTGGGTCTCCTGGATAGGTGCAGGGTCTCAAGGCTCTAGGCCATCCTCCACTGCTTTCCCAGGCCACAGGCTGGGAGCTAGATGGGAAATGGAGCAGCCAGGACACATACTGGTGCCCATATGGGATCCTGGCACATGCAAGGTAAGGATTTAGGCTACTGTGCCAGGCCCAATGATGTAATTTTTATTGTTCACAAACTTACAAAGTAAGAGGAAAGTTAATATACAAATACTTAAAATAAAATTCACTGTGTGATAAATGACTTTACAAATAATCCAATTTGTACCTATATTGGCCTTTCTATTACTATATTGAAATACCTGAGGCTTTGTAAAGAGGTACATTTTGGTTTTTTGGTCTGGAGGTGCAGGGTCCTTGTGTTGTCTGTGTTGTGATGGCCTCCTTGCTGGCAGAGTGCCTGGATGGACAGCGATGGGGAGAGTGTATAGGGATGTCTGTCTGGATCCTCTCCTGCTTCCTGTGAAGCTGCCAAGACCCACCCCGAAGTCCCCACTCTGCTGACTGAATCTGGTGCTAATCACTTCCCGAAGAACCCGCCTCTAACACCAAGGTCAGATTCGCCTCACAATGATGATGACGTTTCAGCACAGGCCAGTATAGCCATGCTGGAACAAGGAGCAGTGGTTGGTGTGTTGGAGGGAGCTGCTGCCAGCCTGTCCTAGCCAGTTATGTGCCTTCGTCCAAACACCACGTTTAGGGCCATCATTGTTTGTGACTTGTAATCACTCGCAGATACCACTGTACAAAACCTACTACAAAGTAAGTTTGGCTTTTCAAAACGCTGTGAATATCTGTCTGTATAGAGTAACTGAGTAGAGATGGCCACTCTGAGTGGGAAGAGCTTCGTGGAGACCGTACGTAATGCAGTGCTAGAAAATAGGCAGAGGTTTACACAGAGCAGTGGCAAAAATACAAGAGTTTTTATTAATTTGGCAAATATTTTATTAAACATCCACTCTTACTATAAGAAATATAGTAATTAGAAAAACTAGGTTGGCTTGAAATTGTTCAGGGAGAAAAATTATGGTAGAAAACTTTGACTCGAACTTCAGAATTTACACTATGAGAT